TTCCTCTTCTGAGTCAACATTTACTTTAATGCACAGTGTCTTGTTGTTTAAGGACATTTTTTTTTGGCAAATGAAAAATACTTAAGTGACCTATTTTTGATCTAGATCTTGACTATACAGCAGTGGTTGGCAAATCATTTTGTTGTCTGTTCATATTGTTTAGTTCCTGCCTCATCCTTTAAACAGATAACTCATGCCCTGACCCCTACACTCAAAAGTCAGGAACGGCAAATTGTTCTCAGTATTTACAATTTATTTCATTCCTTTTTGAGGATTTCTGGTCTTTTGAAAAATGAAACTATAAAAAAACACAAACACGGCAGAGTGAGAAGGTGCAAAGGCAGCTTAACAACTGACATTGTCATGCAAGGGCTCAGCACTGGGGAACACTGGAGTACAGCTGAATATCAATAAAGCTGCATAGACTGTGTTCACTGGCTGTCAGCTAGTGTTTGTATTTGTCTCAGAGAACAGTCTGAACAGTAAAGGCACAGAAATCTCAGCTCTACATCAGCGTGTCTGCTCAGCTTTGTTTGTGCTTTAACATCAATTGTTGAGTTAATTTATGTTGAAGGTTGTTGCTGAACACATCCAGGAGTAGAAGTTTGTAGCGGCTGATATTTAGTAAGAAGATTGAAACTCAATGCACCTTTTGAGGTTTTTACAAACTATTTGTATGTGTGTGTTCTTATTACCCTGTTTGAACAAATCATTTTCATGTGTTTTCTGTATGTTTTGTACATACATGTCAACCTATAGAGTTTGTATTATTTATGGTCTGAGTGTTCTCAGATTCCTGGGGTGAAGCAGGGCTTCTTCCATGCTTTAAGTCAGATTTCTCGTCTCTGAAGGCCACACCCACAGGTGAGTCCTACTTGTCTGCTTAGTAGACAGCACCTGATGAAGTGACCAGTGAGGGGTGAAACAAGTGTTTTTAATGCATTAAGTGTTTTGGGAGCCACAGTGTTGTGAGTCTATTTGCTTCATATTCAAGGATTTTTTTATGACTCAGCACCTGAACGATTGATGTGAGTGTATGTTGACTTCTTTCTTATGACCTGACAACATGCTGCATGCATGCAATGACATTTTAGATTTAAAACCACATGTTAGCCTGCTTCTAAATGTTAGATACAAGCTCAACTTTCAAAAACTGGTGGTTAAAAAACTCTGAAAGGGACTTTTAAATGATTTCATTAGGATTAAATCAAGAAATTGTTATTACTTTTACTAAATCTGCCCATTATTTTCTCTGTAAAGCCACTAATAATTTCTCGTAAAAACAAGTCTCATGTTATTTCTTCCTAAGGTTTTTTTTTGTCCTGTCAACAGTCCAACTTCTAAAGATATCTTTATTTAACGCTGACGCATGCAATGAGCATTGCTTCATAATGTAAAATACAGAGTACAGATGCCATGCATACAGGTCTCTAGCCGTGGCTAACTTGTAACCTCTGACCCTGGCAAAGTTTTCAGGATTAAAACAGAAGCATTAGACTTAAAAGGCAGAGAAACAGTGATACTATATACATGCAGACATTATAATACAATACAAGTAAGTGACTAAGATAATGACAAACAGTGAAATAAGAATTAAAAGAGGAAGCAACATTCAGTGCTCACAGACTTTTTTATGTTTCAGACAGTGTTTTACTTCTTTACGTCTCAAAAACCCTAAAAGTTATTAATTTCAGTGAAATGCATAAAATCATTCCACAGTTGTGTTTGTCTAATGGAGAAGGGTGTCAGACCAAATTAAATTCTGAGTTTTTGTGGTCTAAAGTTTCCACCTGATGTGACCCTCATTTTTAATTTCACTGTTTGGTTTATTGACAGATTGTAACTGGAGCAAGGTTTTTTTACACACTTAAAAATCAATGTACTTTTGTTACCAAAGAGCATCAAATCCCCATATTTGAGCCAATATTTATCATTTTGTTTAAAAAAAAAATCTGTCAACATACTTAAATAATCAATTTATCATGTACAACTCTAAACACCATTGATGCAGGCTGAAGTAATTAAGACCTATCTTATGTGTAATAATAATCATCATATTTATTAAGAATCTCAGAGCATATAATATTTAGAAACACAGATGTTTTTGTTAATATGTGAAGATGATCCTCGTCCTCCTTTTGTATTTACTTAGTGAGATTAATCTCACACACACAACATACTGGGGAAGATGGACACAGTGATATTTTTAAGTTAGTACAAACCCACTCTGCATTCTGTAGACACCTTGTGAATCTACATTCAGGCTGTGTTCAGTGTGTGAGTCTGTTCAGGAATCTCAGTGTTGGTGAAGTGTTAGCTCCATATGTCTGTCGGTTTTTGTTGTCTGCATATGCAGCTGCCCGTCCCACAGTATTGCGCTTGGTATTTCAAGCTCCAGATGGATGCATGCAATTAGATGTAATATGCTACATACCAAATGTCAACACATCTCCTGCTGCAGCTTTAGCTTTCATTTGTTGCCGCTATCTTGTCTGCCTGGATGGGCGCGCCTCAGTGTGAACATGGACCATTGAGTTCCCCTCATTAAACAGAGGATGGCTTCTATTACTCCTCTTTGTCTGTGTCGGCGCTGGGTTTTGTGTTTCTGTTTTAGTAAAGCATCCAGCTTCAGTCACAGCAGCTTTTCATGGTTCTATGTGGGTGAATGATGCTGTGTTGTGTCCTTTAATAAAGAGGTGGCCACGTGAATACTCCAGCAGCACAATTGGGCTGGTTTACTTCAATTAAATATCATTTAATATCTTTTGTGTGGTGCGAGAAATGTCTCATCAGCATAATAAGCTCCTCTCCTCGTCCATTCAGCAATAAAAAACAAAGCCCCTCTGAGGTGGTTTGATGTTGTCAATGTAACCTGGGGAAGGATTTTTGATTGAATGGTTCCACCAACCAGTGAAACAAAAGACAAGGACGCAGAGCGAGAGGAAGTGATGCGTAGGCCTGTCATTTTCTGTAGTTTCTCTCTCTCCAGGGAGCCAGTTAAACACAGCCGAGCAACACTACAAAGGCAGCACGGCTTGGTGTTGGGAGGCAGTGGGCTGCAAACAATGAGTAACATTTGCGAGCAGTCATTTTGCACAACCACAAACCATGAGATGCCAAGATGGGAGGCATAACTTACTTTGAAGGCGTAGAATATTTGTGTATGAATAAGGCCACTTATCAGAAAATGTATGGCTTTCACCTCATAGAGGATTAAGAAGCACTGTATATTGCATTGGTCTAATAATACAAAATGTGTTGCAGATTTAAATCAACACAACAGCATGATCTGAGAAATCGTCTTTTATGGCCGTTATCCGTTACGTTTTTCATCATTTTTGAATTAAGTCTTGCATCAGTTTCTTCACTGCTCTGCGTGGTCTGAAATATAAACCATGTTACACTCTGGCTGCAGCTCCTCTTGAGATGATGGTGGAAGGGCAGGTATTTTTTTTGCCTCTGGCAGCACAAATGCTTTGTAGTGTGAAAATTGCAGCAGCCTCCAAAATAGGAGGGATGATAGGTTATCACAGACACACTACATGCACTCTAATCCACACTCACTGGCACCTTCGTAAAAATGTTTGTGGTTAACAATCACTGAAACACGTTATTAACATCACTCATTTATTCCTCTGCTAGCTATAAGAACCTAAGAACTAAGGCAGTGGCTCCCAACCTTTTTTCCTTGGAGCCCCCCTACTTATATCTGAGAAAAACTGAGACCTCCTTAGAACCCACATGAAAGAAGGTGATGATTGCTGTCAAAAATTAACATCAATTTGAATGTTTTCATTGATAAAATCTGACATAATTCTCCTCACACTTTCTCTCACCAAAATACTTTTGTATAAACTTTTAGCAGGTGTTTTATCATGGTTTTAGTTAATATGTGCCAATCTAATATGACACCCCCTTTGGGGTGCTTGGACCCTTGAGTTGGGAACATGTTCAAATGTTTTTGCTTGGACTGATAGATGTATGTGTTCAACTTCAAGAGTCGTCAAATAAATGCAGGAATGCATCGGTCATTCGGCAAATATTATGACATGCACAGATGTCTGCAGCTGATGTGACTCTTCATCAATGAAATGCTCTCATGATATCATATCTTTAACTGACTCAGAGAAGAGGTTGTTTATTGGGCAGAAGAAGTCACCTGTTAGTCAAACTTATTTTGTTTTCATGGTGAAACATGTGAGAGAATGTTGGCAGTGTGGGAGTCTAACACATCAGAGAAATGCAGTTTGTAAGATATGTTTCAGTGATATTTCTAGAGAAGGGGCTACTACCAAGAATTTGAATACATCAAATCACATTTGAAAAATTAAGAATTAAAAAGTACTGAGAAAAACATCAGAAGCGGCAATCGGCTCAATATTTAGTTTTAACATTGGTAATAACCTGGATTTTCATAATCTCTGCATCTTTAAATAAATATGAGGAATACTCTGCATTGTTAAATCGATTAAATATGAATATATATCAACTAATTTACACTGAAGCAAGTGATATGTGTTAACAGTGTTTATACGACATAGATTTTAGAGTGCACATGCATGCTTCTGTTGGGATTTCTGCCAAAATGTTTCCACATGGTTGCATAGTTTGAATTTATACACTTTTATTTATTCCATTCTGCATTTTCTTCTTCTTTTGGGCCGTGTTGGCAGAAGAAAGCTGTGAACACACTGATATATAATGCTTTCACTCGATGTGATGAACGTATCTGAAAATAGTTGCTTATTAAAATATCTGGCTGAAACACTCATATAGTGTTTCATGAAGCACATGTCTCTGGCTAACAGATGCATACATAGCCCAATATGCATACTCCTTGTAGATCTATTTTGGTCAGTAACAACTCCAGAAATATCTGTATCCTTGGCAGCTAAATGTTCCACTATGTTCTTCAGAAAGTCCTCACATTATTAACTCCTGCAGCAGTTTCCTCCCGGCTTATTTTCTGTCTTTTTTTCTCTTCTTATTTTTTCATTCAGGCAAATACGTGTACCAGCCCATGACCAATGTGTGCAAGCTGCCCAGCACAGCCGTGCCTCCTGTTGAAACAGAGTACAGTAACACCATGGACCTGTCCGTCTCTCTGGCCGAGCGCTTCCTGAAGCTCGCCCCCTGCTTCCAGTCGCCCCCTTACCTTGAGTCGCCCAAGTACTGCGTCATCGCCGATCTCTTTGTGGATGACTACATTGTTAAACGCATTAACGGAAAGATGTGCTATGTTCAGCGCCCACCTCCTCCTTTACCAGAGCCACCTCATGCTCCTACCCCTACCCCACCTGCTCCTGCTACCCCTCAAAGGCCCAAAAATCCATCTTCTCAGCCTCGACAAGCAGTGAAGAATGCACCGCCTACCCCTCACACACCTACACCCCTGCAGCCGGTCCAGCAGGTGTACAGTGAACACAAACACCGGTCTCCTGTGGATAAGATCAAAGGCCCAAAATGGACCACTGCTCCTCTCCATCCAGCTCCGAGGACTCTGGCATCAACGCGTTGGGTCTGCACTACCTGGAGTCCTGCGAGGAGGAGAGCGACGAGGAGGAGGACGAGGAGCTGAGCACGGACGGGAACTCCAGCCCTGGAAGCCTTTGGGACCAGGACGAGTGCTCTCTGCTCTCCCCCTCCAAGTCCATGATAGAGATCATCGAAAAGATCGAAACAACTGTGTAACAGATGCAACATCAACATGGACACCAGCTGAGAAGCAGCATGACGTAACTCAGAATGATTTTATTGAGGATGATTCCTGCGGGTGGCCGAGGACTGTACTGCCTGCACTCAAACACAGCCTCTCCTCTTGTCAACCAAGCCTGCAAGGAGTGAATTTCTAAAACGAGGAAGCACAGGATTAAAAAGCACATGCACAGTGGACCAAATAGACCTCTTGTACATGGTAATTACACAGAATATAACCTAAAATACAAAAGGAATCTATCATCGGCACACTAACATCACTGAGACTTCTCTCCAGGCATACATTACAGGAGCTAAATGATGTGTTAACAAAGAAAATAAAAGTACGTTTGGTGATGATAATGAGGGGTTCCTTGTGTTTTCCAGTCATCAATCTGGCATTCAGACTTTATTCTAATTCAACCTTTAAGCGGCAGAGAAAGCTTGCTATTTTCACTCTCTCTGTGACTGGTGGCTCCGCCCACACCTATTAGTAATTCTGACACTTCAGTGTAATATCTACAAGGCCAGCTACCCTTCATGGGCCTAAAGCACACATCAGCCGTTTTACCCGTTAATTACTCAGCTCAGAGCGGCAGGAAAAACAGCTGCTTTGTATCACGTTATCATAAAAGATTCCAGCCCCACAGTTAGTCTGCACTTTACTGACACTAACACAAGCAGTAGGTAGGTAGGTCAGTGTTTGACAATCAAGGATTACACAAAAAGCACATTCCCATGCTGTACCTGCCAGTGAGGACCAAGGATGCTCTTATATAACTTCTTAAACCATTTATCAGACTTTAACACATTGTTCTGACAAACCTTTCAGGTCTCACTGCACTGAACTGCAGTGCTGTTCGAGGTTAAATGAGGCATTAAGCAAAACATGCCTCCTTATGACCTCTATTAGCAGAAATTAAATAGCATGGACACATCTCTGGCAGAGCTACAGTGACAAAAGTAGTCACAGCAGAAACTTGTAGGACACCTAGGGAAGAGGGGATATTCCTTATATATATATATATATATATATATATAATTATAAACTTTAACAATAAAAGAAACTGCATTGTTATTGGCATTTGGGGTTTGACACTGAAATGTTGTGTTTCCAGCTGGATGGGGAGGGAGTCTGGGAAAGATGAGCAGGTTAGGATAGATTAGTACGTCACAGTTTTTTGTGCTTTGGGGCAGAAAAATGTCACTTAATGCACTTTTAAAATGAGATTACAGTGTGGAATAGGATGCTGAATAGGTGTTGTGATGTTGTGATGGACATGATGTTAGAAGAAATGCACTCAATTATGATATATGTGGGACAGCCCCTTTATAGTCAGTTAGTAAAATGAAGATGGGCTATATAGGGTTATATTTGTTTTTTGCTTTTTATGTTGAAAGAGTTGTTTTCCAGGGGAGTTATCTGCCAAAATCACAGAAATAGTCACAATTATTATCGCTACCCAAGCTACACTAAATGTTAAAATAAAAAAAGGAATTTTGCATGACTGCATTTATTTGCAGAAGTCCCTTATGTCAAAGACCGATTTAACGTAATTGGCTGCTCAAAGAGTGGACAAATTGTGCATCAGTTCATCAGATGGAGTAACTTTTATTCAGGGACTGCCCTCGACATTACATTGAACACAGTCCCTCCTAATGCAGCTTAAAAAAATGTCTTATGTTCTCATTTATTGTTATATTATTTTCATATGAATAAATCTCAATGAAACATATTTTCCATCCTCATTTTGTCCCTTTGAAATGTGTGGGCATGCTTTTAAAAAACACTTCAACTTCCTCCACCTCACTCACAGATGACTAATGCTCTCCAGAGATTGGGTGGAATAGCAAAGTAGAGTGAGAGATGAGCTCAGATTGAAGACGTTACTTTTCACAGTTTGTCTGGATGTTTGTCTCTGAAATGTCTCAAGGATTGTTCTTTGTTGATTCTCAAATTCCCTCCTTTGTTGTAACCTTTGCCTTCTTGCGATGCCACTACGGAGGAAAATCACGCTTATGTAGTAGAAAAATCAAACGAAGCAAATGGAAGATTTAGGCTTAAAGACCTCTGACCTTATTGTAGTATTGCAGGAAGACATACCAAACAGGTGAAGGAGCTCAGACTCGCTTCTTTTTCTAGAGTTTGTATCTGATTTAATGAGGGATATGCAAGAGTCTATTTTCCCCTTCCGCCCCACCCAGATTGATTTCCCTGTTTCTCCTGCATAGAGTCTATTGATCATCTGTACTCTGCTAGTGCGGAAAGGAAAAACCAAGGCCACGATGAAATGCTAATCGGTTTATATAAATGGACATTCATTGTTCTGCTTGGTCATGACGAGGAGGAGTGTGGAGCCCGACTGCTGCTGGAGAGCCTGCATGACAACGCAGAGTGGGAGACAAGAGAGAGAGAGAAAACTGGAGAAGACAAGAGAAGAGAATAAAGGCGAAGAGAAAAAAAAAAGTGCGAGTGCATGGAGGGAGTGAAGCGCAAGCAGAGCAAAGGAAGTGTAATTAAAAGGATGATGATGATGATGATGCAAGCACATGCAAAGTCTTTGGAAGGACTGCCTGTGTGCGTGCAGTTCAACATTTGAAATTATTTCCTTTTTTTTTTTTTTCAAAGCTTCAGACAGATCTGATGAAGAGATAGATTGCTGTAACTGTTAATCCCTTGGAGCAAAGTCATTCAATTGGCAAGCACCTTGAGCAGTCCAGAGCTTCTACACACACACACACATACACACACACACACACACACACACACACACACACACACACACACACACACACAGGAAGGTGCACACCAAATCAAAAAATGTCCTTGTTCAAGGACTGCTTCACAAGCTGGGTTGGCAAAGTACGAGTCAGACAGGCCGAAGGGAGATGTTGTCAGCTGTACTTTTTTCCTTTAGATGTGAGCGTAAACATCACCTACCTAAGGAGGTCTCCTTTTCATTCTGTACATTTGCTTATACGCTTAATGGTCCACTTATTAAAAGAGTACAACCAAACTACTTTCTGTGTGGCAAAATGAAAACATGGAGCACCATCAGTACCTCACCTGGGCTAGGGAAGCATATGGAAAAATCACAAACTAATTTTCTTTGATGGAGAGTTGTTATTTAATTGGTCAAAATGTAGAGAGTTGAAATACATGCAGAGAGCGTAGTACTCACAAAAAAGCTTCTAACAAATTCTAACTGTTACTGTTGGTGTTTGCATGTCTGCAGGATGGTGTTGAGTCGCTCTCAGTACATGTTTTATACCTGCACACTATCTATTTATTAGATTGAATTAGGCCTTGGTTTGGTTCTACTCCTCAAACTTATTTAAAACAAAACTACGGGGTGAACTTTAAATAAATTGTTCTCCATGCTTTCCCCTAAAAAATGGGTTGGTCTCAGAAATTTGAGGTATGGCACATTATTCATGTTAGGTGATATCTTGCTTTGCCCCAGTTTTGCCTCAGTGTTAGCACAACAACTTCACAGATACAACCAAACAGTGACTGTGATTTTGGTTTACTGTTTGAGCAAATTTGTGTTTGATAAGTGCCTGATATCAGCAGCAGCAGAAACAGTAGAATGGTACAGTTTAAGAAGATTTTATATAACATATATCGTAACCTTTGGATTTTAAAAAGTGGTATAAAAAAGCATAGGCTACCAAAAGTAGCACATACAAAACATCATGTTTGTTAGAAGTGGTTGTGGGTGTAATAAGTATTGGGTCTTAAAAGATGTATGTTGGAATATTGGGCGGCACGACTGTCTTACATACTGTCCTAATAACTCATGTTGAGCAGCTCATACGTCCCTGGTTGGAGATCCTACAGGAGTTTTCACTTACAGATACAGTATTTCCATAATCTGCATATAAACATGGTAGTGGTGCAATGGATCACAATGGATCCATGATTAGTTCAGATCACCCCCACAGTTCAGGCTGCATGTGATCTGTAGATTTTGGAAAATGAATCAACAGTGTAAAATAAATGTACTGCTTCTAAATCCCTGTGCAGAGTCTCAGTGATAGGAAGGCAGCGTCTACAGTAGTGTGTCTAGGCACCATGGAGATCCTCTGTACAAATATAGGAAGACACTTCATTCTTTAAAAAATATATTTTTTCAAAAGTTTCTTGCAGAATTTTACAAACAAATGGGTCGTAAAGTATTTGATATCTCGGGTTACTTTGTGTCAAACGCTGCTCTGACTGATCTCTGTTTCTTCTCACTGTTTCAGGTATCAGCTGGTGGCTGGGTATAACATCAATCAGAAACTTGACATTAATAGTAATACAGCCTATTGTGTTCTGCAGAAATTAAAGATATAGTCCCATAATTTGTTGTTGTGTCTCACCCAAACAACAAGCAGCGAGCACATGAATACACAAACATCTACTCAATGAATGGTGTGTATATGTGGCATGATCAACATTGTTAAAGCTCATTCAAGAAAAAAACGTGTTTTTGTAGATAACAGTAAACTTGTCATTCACAGGAATATTTTTGTTTGAAAAGTTGATGTCCCTGCTGGAGGGTAAACAAATGAGCCTACCATAAATTAATCTGTTGAACTCAAATCTTTTTAAAGGACTTTCTAAAAAAAGAAAGAAAGGGAGTTCATTTTATCTAACTGTTTGTATTATTATCATTGGAATTGTTGTGTGTAAGTGAAAATTGAGGATGTGATACATGTATTTTGATTTGTACTCCTGTTAAAATCTTAAAATGCACAGTTTGAGTCATGGCTGGCTGAGGAGCAGAAAAGTTGAATATATATATATATAGATATATATATAGATATATAAAACAATCCAAACATTGACAAATATTTGCGATCTGAACTGTGAGATCAGTTGCTCCACTGAAACATCATATAGCCAAAACGTAGAGCAAGAAAAACATAAAGGCTGTGGTACTTTCAAACCAAGTCAAAAAGTTAAAAAAAAGAAAGAAATGTAAAAAAGAAACATGTGTGCACAAGATAACTATCTCGTTCCCACAAGTTAACATCTAATGTGCGCACATTGCCCAAGTTATTACGTTGTGCACACAAGATTTTTTAAAAACTTTTTGGGACTTCAGTGGCTCCATACTTCACCTGACTTTGAAGCCATTTTAATGGATATTGAAGGGGAAAAAGAAGTTAAGGGGTTAATATAGTTTATAATTCGACATCATAAAACTCCATATCAGCTTCCTTCAGGGGACCAGCATGGCATCGCAGGCAAACACCTTCCTTATAAAGCTAGTCCCTAATCTAAGACACTCAGAGGCAAACCTCACAGCAGCACTCTGTTTCAAAAGAGCCATTTATATGTCCAATTTACAGCATAATGTCCCGGTGATTGGTGATGCAGGCAGCTAGCAGGTAACAGGGGGAACCCAGCAGCAGGCTGCTGATAAACAGTCGGACACATGGCTTTGCCTTGGCACTGCTCGATGGGCGATGGGTTTCTGATAAGCTCTGTAAACGCTAGAACGTCACCTGGAGTGCAGCTCTGCCCTGTACCTGCCAGTAAAATATTCATTACTTTTCTTCCGTCACTGTCATCCCTCGTCTTTGAAATGAATGTAGAGCACTTTTACCTTTTAGACACAGAGCGTCACTCTCCCTGAAAACTCCAGACAAACAGCTTTAAGCTTTGGTGCCGGTAGACAAGGCTGTGTTTGAAAGTATTCCCTTTTGTTCCTTAAAGCTACTTGATGATTCATCCTTTCGCTACTTATGTGAAAAGCCTCTGAGTGCTTTTTGGGGACGGCAGAACGACTCACATGGTACATTAATGTGATTAGTTGGCTTTGTTGCTGTGGATTAGTCTGCATTAGGTGATGATTCAGTATCTGGAAAGACAGGATGGATGATCACATTTACACATTAAATTTGCAACACCTGCAAGTAAGCAAGGGGCTTTCCATTTAAACACCCATCTTAAAAATAATAATAACACATTTCACATTTCCATTTCTCAGCTGTTCTTATTTCTCTACTGTTTTAAAGGCTAGTGATAGTGTCCATTAGCAGAGCAATAGTGAGGTTAATATGCACTGACACAAACTCTGAATCTATCTTAATTACATCAAAGAGTGAGAGAATGTCTGCGATGCCTGTGCTCTCCTCACGTTTAACTTTAAAACCGGGGAAGTCAATATGGCCGCCTTCTCGAGTGTCTGCTTTCCAGTTTGATAAATCTTTTCTCCCCCAGCTTGCTTCTTTTGATTTTGTGAAGCATGAAACAGGGAAAATTAACTACTTCTGTAACAAGTGGGCAGACACACACTCTTGGGTTCGTGGAAAAACAAAAGTAATGTGAATGCTTGTTTTGATTCTAACATGTCAAAAATCCTGTTTTGAAGCTGTACATAAGAAGAGGTGATTTATTTTGAAAGGAATGCATCAAACACATTTTGTTCGACATCAAAGGGCCGTGATCTTCTGTGTCTACTTCAGATTTTGCACATTTTTATTCAAATATCAAACAGGATGAAAAGAGAGTAACTTCTGTGCGGACACAAGGCCACAATGGAGGGACTGTGTTCGCAATTTAAAGGTCAGTAAAGCTAAAACCACTCGAGGGATTCATCAAAAAGGTGGCCTGAGTTTCCTGTGGGGACCAGCAATCATTTGAACTCTGATGACACGCATACCGCTGCCTTCAATCCAGTCAGTTGGAGGTCCTGAACCTTTCCTCAAGCAAAGAAACTACATTCAGGAAATTACAGATTTA